CTTAAGCAGCTGCCACCACTGTCTCATTCACTCTCAGGTCTGGCTGGACGCAGTCAAGACTAGCCCTGGCTTCACTAGTGGCCACTGCTGCCTGAGACGGAAACTCAGGGTTCTGTCGACAATAAACCACTCCTTCTGGTGGCTTCTGCCTTTTAACTTCCAAGCTGGGATTTGGCCTGATGATTGTAGTGATCAGAGTACAACCCACTACTTAGACCGATACAGAGTAAATACAGCCTTCGCTGGCGGGTCAGTATATTTAAACGGTATCTTTTTATAATGCGTGCCAGCACCATCACAGACCAGAAGGAGAAGGATTCACTTGGACAGTAGCACGACACTTTCTCGAGGATGCTCCGCATACTTTGATTTCTGTTTAATGACTGAGTACATAATACCCTTGTACATATGATTACCGGGTTATTCTCCATATGCGTAACCTGCCGCCACGATTCTGTCTAACTTGCGTAGACTGGCTGGAGATTTGGCGTCATTATCACCAGGTTGAGCTACCGTGCAAAACGCGTGGTCTCGAATAAACGAGGATGGAAAGTTCGTCAACTTGCAAAAGCCCTGCAAATCGCACAGCTTTTGACAGCGATGTCCGAGGACCCGTCGTGGTCTTAATCAGGCTCAGTGCGCACCAGACTGGTCAGTCCTCCTCCATAACCGTGAATGATAAGTCATGGACATTTACAAGGAGCGGAAGCTGGAAGTTGAAAAGATGTGGGCTGAGTACCATCCATCAAGTGCGAGGCGGGAAGTATGTCTCGATTAACCCTGTACGTATGAATACAGTGTTCTTGCTTTTGTAGTTCGAAATATTTAGAGTCTGTCTCTCAAGTCCAAACTCGACTTCCTGCACTCTCTCGCTAACACGTATGCTCCGTTTGATGTAGCTGTTTACTATGCCTCAAAAACGCTGACCTCCAAATTTCTGTATCCTACTATCTGCTAGAAGCACTTTTTGAATTTGGAACCCATTATAGTCTTCGGGGGCTCTAAAGAGACAGCTACTCTCCTCGTAGGCGTCATATTACCTATTTTTGAACTAAATATTTACCTCCGGCGGGCATTTCAAGAATTACGTCGTTTGCCTATTGTGATACCCTCTAAATCCCCATTTTTTCTTCCTTTAGGACTACTCCAAACAACAATTTATGCGCCTTAAGGGCCTCGAAATCCTGGAGGCCTCCTACAAAAATACAGAGACGTCCTTCAAAAAGCTGCAGGGGGCATATGGCACGTCTTCCGATAATCCAAATGAGGTGATGTTTTGTTTCTTCTTGATATAATAAAGTTCTGTTCGTCGACTCCGAATAAATGTCATGTCAATTTAAATCTTTACCCATAAAGTCCTTGTTTCCACGCGTAAGTAAACATTGACAGAGCACAAAAGTTGACTAGCGTAAATGCTCAAACCTGTGCAAGTAAAAGAGCTTTATAAAAGGCGCTGCTACTAAAGGACTCGTAGTTAAATCCTCGTCCAGCTCGTTATGCCTACAGTTATCCTCCTTGGAAGTTACTATAAACATGGAATACGTAATATCTCTTGTCGAAAGTTTTCCCATATCTAAACTGATTTTCGACGCCATCATTTAACACGAGCAGGAGGCTTATATGTTGGAACGTTTAGCTCACAGTTCAGAATTAAAATATAACTGTCTAACAGTACGAGCTGACCCTTTGAAATGCAGTCACGAGAAACGTAACGCACTTCTATTGGCTGTGTGCCAATAGCGCAGTTCAGGGCAATATGGTAACCTGGAAGTGATGAAGAATGCATATCAGAGCTTGGCAACAGGCTGTAGCCCCCACTCCCCGGGGCCGTCTTCTTCAAGTGAATTTCCAGGTGTTTTTACAAGAACCTCCGTTTTCCTGTATCCCCAGCACAGACACTCATGTTTTCCACTTCTTACGGACCATTTACGATTATGTGTGTTTTCCACTAAGCCCTCACCCTAGATAGAAATGAATTTGAAGCTGCAGCAAACTTACTGCGGTCAGCAGGAGGGCTTCCTGCACATTGTATGTGC